TAGTGATACTCTTTCTGCCTTTTCTTGTGCCAGGGTTTGCAGACTCCACAGGTAAGCCCACAGAGGAGGGACTGACCACGGATGCAGTTTGTGTCTATGAGTGGACAAAGACAAAATGTGGCACCATCCCCGTATGTCTCTGGGGCCATTCTCTGGGAACAGGGTAAGTGGGGTCTGAAGATATTTGAGGTGGGGTCCTTGGGCTTCAAGCATTACTAAAAGGCAGCAGTGAGTCACGGCAGGAGCACTAAGCTCAGAGACAGGGACTTTATTTTGGCCTCGCCCACACCGCACACATAGCCAGAGCTTCATGATTGCAGTATATCTGTAAGGAGGCCTGGTCGCATAGTGGTCATGTGTTGGCCTGCTAACCACAAGGTCAGCAGTTTGAAACAGCAGCGGCTCCGTGGGAGAAAGATGAAGCTTTCCACCCCCATAAGAAGTTACATATAGTCTCAGAAACCCACAGGGGCCGTTCTGCCCCATCCTATAAGGTCACTCTGACTAGGCGTGAACCCTATGGCAGCGAGTCGAGCTTTCGACTTATGAAACAAGGGCGAGTCTGCTCAGCTCTGTAGTTGGCTAAGACACCAAACTTTTTCTAAAGGTCTCCTTTTTAAATTTTAATAAATCATTTTATTGGGGGCTCTTACAGCTCTTATAACAAGCACACTTGTATATATGTTGCCATCATCATCTAAAAGACTTCTTGAGAATTTTAAAGAAAATTCTTTTTCCTCTAAATGTTAAAAAAAATTTTTTTAATTGTGAATTGGGTGAAGGCGTACAGAGCAGATCCGTTGTCTATTCAACAATGCACGCCTGTTTGTTTCATGTCATTCATTGCACTCCCCACATGCAGCATCACTTACCCCTCTTCGTCTCTGGGCGTCTCATTTCTGTTCTTCTGAACTTGGCCTTAGGTAGATACTGCCCTTTTCCAGCTCAAATTGTGGGTTATTTATGGTGTGTGTACCACCCTAGTGTTGTTCCCCTTAGAGACCTTCCTTTTTTGAACCAGAGTTTATTTCTATACCTGAAGAGTGACCCGGGGCCACAGTCTTGAGGGTTCCACCAGTCTCTATTTGACCAGTCATCCAATCTTTTTAAAAAAATGATTTGGAGTTCGTTTTATTCTATATTTTTCTCCTATTCCATTCATTCATAACCTTCTAATATGATTCCCAAGAAGATTCTTAGCTTAGGATCTGTGGAAAATCATGAAATCTTGTGTGAAATGTGTCTAGCGCATTTTCCAAACCGGCGTTCCGAGCTTGTATCAGATGTTTGTACTGGATGTTGTATTTTGTACTGTTGATTTAACTGTTAAGTCATTGTTTTATCTACTAATATCTTTGCAGAGTTGCTACCAATGCCGCAAGAGTACTAGAAGAGAAAGGTAAGGTAAAATTCTTAAGTGGTAACATGGCTTGGCCTGGCACGGGGAAGCAAAGTCAGAGTAGAGACAGTTGGTGCACACGTAGAACGCACCCAGTGTCTCAGCTTGACACGGTTTCTGGCAGGGTGGCAAGCTTTCCGTGTTTCTTTGTATCTCCTATAAAATAATAGCTGCTTTCTAAGGTTATAAAAGTGGAACTAAATATTAAAAGGGCTTTTGATAAAACTAAGCAAACAACCCTTTTGATACAAGATCTCTCTGAAAGAGTCCTCATGAAGGATCCTAAAAATGCTAATTGGAGAAGCCATGGGAGAGGAAGATCGGGCACGATGGAGGGACAGACAGGACTGGCTGTCTGCTTGCTTTATAAACCTGTTTATCTGTCATTTATCTACGTAGCTCTCCTCATACAGCATTGATGGCAGTGCTTCTTCAAATGCTCTGGAGCGAGCTGTACCAGATCCCCTGGGAGTGTTGATTAAAAACACAAGTCCCGAATGACGACATGAATTAGCTTCTCGGGGAATTGGACCCGATGACTTTGATGCGTGTTAGCAGTAATCTCTTGCACTTCACTTGGTACACGTCAGTCTGAATCATGGAAATATTTTAAAATAAGCCCCCGTTATATAAAACTTTAATAACTGAGGGAAACCAGGGAAATATCATTTTAGTGTGCCCTCACCCTGTGCACACCGTATTCACAAAGTTGACAGTGTTGTATTAGAAATAAGAACGTAAGTCCATTGGCACACTCTCAGAGTATTCTACGTATCCCTCTATTCCCTAGTGGCTTGTAGTAGTTCTCAACTTTCCCAATGCGGCGACCCTTTAATA